ATGATGGTGTTGCAGTGAATGAAAAAGATGGTAATCTGATTGTGCCATATCTGGAGAATATGGTGGGTACGGGAGAACTTTCCAACCCAACTCCATAATCTTGTGTTGTGTCATACGAGCCACATGTGGACATGCATTGTCGTGAAGAAGAACACCTTTCTGATTGACGAGTGAAGGGAATTTCTGATGAAGGGCTTGATTTAAACATTCCAGTTGCTGACTATAGATCTCTGCATTGACAGTTCGCTGTGGATTGAAGAGTTCAAAATGAATTACTTTTTTTGATGTCCTACCAAATACAAAGCATCACTTTCTGCGGATGGAGTCCAGGTTTTGGAGTAGGAAGTGGTTTTTCTCTAGGACTGAGTCATTGTTTTTGGTGTTTAATATTTGCACAGAAAATCCATTTTTCATCACCGGTGACAATTCTGTCCAAAAATGGTTCACGCACATTACGCACCAGAAGAGACGAAGCAACATTCACACGTTGGAAACAATGATCATTGGAGAGTTCGTGAGGCACCCAAACACCTTCTTTATTGAATTTTCCCATATTCCTTAGAGGCTTACATATTGTTTCATGAGAGACATGCAATTTCAGGGCCATTTCACAAGTGTGTTGCCTCGGGTTAGACTTAATAAGCGTCTTCAGAGTATCGATATCAATTCCAACATGTCAGCCCCTGCCATCACAGTTTTTAAAGCTAAAGTCACCTGAATGACATTTGCTGAGCCATCGTTGACATTTACGAATGTTCAAAACATTTCCATAAACTTCTTTGATATTCTTTGTGGCTACAGAGGCATTGTTTCCCTTCTTGTATTCAAACAGCATTACATGGCAAATGTGTGTCTCGTCGTGTACCATCACTATAAGGGATTAGAGTATACTAAAATTTACACATTATATAGGCTACATTAACGTGATGTTTAGGCAGTTCATTTAACTATTATAAGTGATGTATGTTTTCTGGGGGGTGGTTAATGAAAGTGTTCCAAAATGCAACAATAATTTCTTGATGACCTAATATTATCCTAAGAAGCCAGGGTATGTGGCCCCATTTCGGGGCAGAGATAATAATGTCTGAACATAATATAGGTGGTGCCCATATGCTAGCAGGAAAAAAATAATTAACAACCATTTGCTAATGCTTTCAAAAATGATTGTTGAGTCCTGATAAGTATACAGGAACACGTTGTTGTCTGTACGTTATATTCTCCAAAAAAATTTTCATCAATACCTTAAATATAGGTCTAGAAACACAGTTTTTCAGTGGATTATTTTATTTTTTAATCCACTGTTCCTCCAGACTTTTATTTAAAGTATACAGTAGATTTCCTCTCCTTACAACAAACAACAATACCTGTTTTCATCAATTTCAGCCTCATGCTCCAGGTGTAACAAGTCCAAGTGTTTTGATACAAAAGCCTCAAGAGTCATTGCTGAAAAAATGATAAATTTAAATCAACAATAATAGTAGTATAAAATGTCACAACATAAAAAAAAAACAATCACAAATGATAAAAACTAATTTGCATCAATTTAAAATAAACATCTCATTTTAACCTCCTCAGCTAAGGGGTTATGCCCTTTACAGTCCAAAAAAATGTTTTTTCACTTAAATAAAACTTTTTAGAAATAAATTTCTCTTATAGAAAATTTCTAATGAAGCTAAGTTTTAAGCAAGCAGCACTTCATTAGATACATGCAAATCATATTGGTATATAACTCTACAAAAAAAGTTAAAAGTATATTTACAGTTTTATTTTAAATGTTTTGACATCTTATAAAAGTTCTAATATTCACATCTATTCTGCTTTAACTATAAAAACTAAGACTTTTAATGTCATTCTTTCTAATTTATTAGGATAATTTTAATAATTAATTAAAAACATTGCCTGTATTATATTCATAGCCTTTAATTGTTTTTTGCATAAAATTTATCTTTCATGTTGCACCATATCCTAAACTCATTCAGCAATAATCAGTGTATCTCAGACTTGCATCAATAACTTACTTTGGAACTGGATTAAGGTCAGAGTTAAGATTAAAATGAACATTCCATACTTGTGTCCTTACGTTAGGGAAAGAAAATTAATCATTTCTGGGTTTTCTTAGTGTAACATAAAATTTAATTTCATTGTAAACCTTTTTAATTGTGTATTTTACCCTATAAACCAATTTTTAAATGTTTTATGAACATTTCAAAAATTACAACAGATACAATTTTAGTAGGTTAACAGAAAGAGGGCAGGTGCCAGAGAACTGGAGAGTTCCTTACATTAGCCCATTTTTAAATGTAGTAATAAGAGTTGCCTTGAAAATTACAGGCCAGTAGCCTTATGTCTGTTGTGGGAAAAATTCTACAGTCTGTTAAAAGAAGCTTTACAAAATCATCTGATAAAGTATAGAAAAATAAAATCCAACCTAGATTCACTAATGGGAATCTTGCCTTACTAGTACATTATCTATTTTCAAATTCAAGAATGTTATTTATCTGGATGAAGAAAAGGGTGTGGACTTGGATATTCAAAAATCTTTTAATAAATTGCCATACAAAAGATTAGCAGTTAAAAATATTACCGCAGTAGGTCTTTGGAAAAGACTAATTGGGTTGTAGGGTGATTGGATAGGAGAAAGTGAAAGGTTATTATCGTATTTCACATACAAACTAGACACCTTAATAATTGTTACTTGTGAAGTACCTCAGGGATCAGTGCTTGTATCTTTGCTCATTCTTACTTATATTAATGATACTAATACTAGTAAATCAGAAAAGTTGGTAATAAATCTTGGTTATTTTTTTTTAGCTGTACTGAGGGTTTTGGCTTCTCTATAAGAGGGATATTGACTTTGGAAAAGGTTCTGAGGAGGGCACTTACTATTACTACTAGGGATGGGTGGATTATCTTACATAAAAGTCTGAAAAACCTTAAAAAGTAACTGTGCATAAGAACATGAATGCTAGTATGTTATGCTAACTATTGTAAATAACAGTGTTAATATATATAACAATTATCAGTATCTAACTGACTCTTAAAGTTAAAAAAGTCTAAGTAGCTTTACTTTAGACTGCAAAGTGTAACCCTTTACAGTTTACTACTACTAGTCTTTAATTTAAATTTTTATGAATTTACCTAAAGACTAAGCTAAAAGGTATTATATAAATATAACTGTCTTAACAATTAATACATTATACTTAAAATCTACTCTAGCTACAAATTGCAATTTAACAGTAAAAGTTAAACTTAAATTTTAAAGTACCTATGAATTAGTTGCTGTGTTTACACTACTAAAAAAAATACTACTAGGCCTACGCTCATCTCTCACTGTTGTAAACTTGTATGCAAATTATCCATAACTAAATAGAAATAATAAATCAATTCAAATTTCTCATGCCACAAGTTACATAAATAATATATGAAAGCTTAAACAACGTGAATAATAATAATATAATATATATATTTTAGTTTTACCTCTTTCCATAAAAACAATCTTACAATGAAAGTATGAGGCAGTGTTAAAACTACCATACAATTTAAAGGAACATAAAATATATAAAAAGATACTTTTATGTTGTTATCAATTTTCAAAATTTATAAAATAGACAGTAGAGTAACCATACATCTGGAAATTGCAACTAAAACAAACTGATAATATACATTAATATATTTAAACATAACGACTTAATCAGTATATTCCTTTCCCAAAGGTTACAACATCGCCATTAAAGCTTTATTTGTAAACCGTGGCATAGCAGCTGATAGACTGGCTCCGAGTTTTTCAAGTACAAGCTTTTAGCACATAGCTAGATCTAATTACAGTTTTGGGCTCAGGATGTCAAACCTTTTCGATTGATGTATATGACCATTCCCAAGGTCCCATAGATTAATTTACTCTAATCCTACCTAAAAAATTTCAATTTGAGGGTAGGTTTGTAAAGATTCTGATGAGTAATAAAATTGAATCGGGTATATGGGCGCCCCACGCTTTATATTGCTGGCGCACAAAAACTGTTGTTGTTTGTTATTACG